ACCCATGAAGTTGATAATGTTATCGATCAATTAATGAACAAATTTAACAGACTAACAAATCAAAGTGAAATATCTTCAAATGTAATGCAATTACTAAATCAGTTTCACCTGTAGCAAAAGAATATTTTGAGTACTGATTGGATAGTTGTTATAAATGGACTCCCTGGTGCTGAGTTACAAAACCTTGGACTTGCATGTTATCAAAATGTTATATACAAGTATTAATACATACTCCAGCATTTGCGAGCTACATTCTTCCCAAATCAAAAACCCAGCAATGCAGAAAAAATAAAACACCATCTTGTTTGTTACCGGTATGTGAATGGGAATCATTTATAATCCAGATGTATTTGGGTGACAACAGTTACAGTTACAGAAATACATTAAATGTACAGAATTATTTAATCCTCTTGTAGAAAATGATGCCCATGAGTTTCTTGTGATTATATTTGATATATTAGAACAATGTGACGTAAACAGTAATAATATGCCATTACATACTTTACAAAGTATATTTATGGGTATCTATCAAAACACTGTGCATATCAGAATGTTGAACCATTCACTGTTTTACAACTTCCTATCACATATTCTAGTAATAATGAACCAGTTTCTATTTCAAATTGCCTTAATGATTATTTTAGTGGAGAAACAATACATGAATTATTCGTATAGTCATTGCAACAAAGTTCATGAGATTGTAAAAAATGTGACCAATCAAGTATTACCACCATACCTTGTTATACAGTTGAAACATTTTTCAAATTTGGGGAATAAGATAGAGACAGCTGTCAGTTATTCAATAAATTTAAACATGTCTGAGTATGTAAGCAACAGTTACTATTGTAATACTGCATACAAGTTACATTTGTATATGGTGTAATAGTACATCAGTCTAATCCATTACATTACTATGCCTGTATTAAAGCATCTGATAATAACTGGTATGTATAGCTTGGAATGATTATTGGTAGTAAGAAAAATTATGTTATAAAATTTCACTATTTCAAGAATTTAGCCAATTCCTGGTCTCAACTTAACCAGTTGTATCAACTATTCCCTTGCGGGCAAGGTTTCAATAGTTTTGCTATGTTTTTATCTAATTTAGTTTTGATGAGTTTGTGTGTCAAATATACATTATTTTTTTTATTTTTTGTAGATGAATTATTAACCCCCCAAAAATATATGGTTGTTACTGGTTATGGTCATGAAATAGCTAGAGATCCACGTGATCCAAGACGTCAATTTGCTGAGAGCCTTAAACAAATAGCCATTCCTTTACAAGAAGATGATGTATGCAAACGAAGTCTTAGACCTGTCAATCTTGAACCTCGATTTCACTACTAGAATGTTTTGTGCAGGATTTGGTGGACTTACACCAGAAGACAGACGAGGTGAAGGTGAAGGCGGAATTAGAGATTCTTGCCAGGGTGATTCTGGAGGTCCGGCTGTGCGGGAAATGGTAGACAGACGTGATAACTCTTATCGGTTTGTCCAGATAGGAATTGTCAGCTGGGGTCATGGTTGTGCTCAAGAAGGTCAATATGGTTATTATACAAACATACCATTGTTAATAAGATGGTTACGTCAAAATATTAACAACTTTGAACTAAATCAACCAGAGGAAGCAGTTTTTGATTTAGCTGGTGCAGTGGATGAAATTCCAATTGAAGCTGAAGATGTTATTGAAGCTGCTGTGGATGATGGACTTGAAGTGGTTGAAGCAGCTGTAGTTGATGGGCAATAGTATATCAGTAATGCTATACTACCGTATACCAATGATTAACCTTATGAAAACGTGGCCAATGTTACAGATATTCTTGGCTTATGCACTTCAATTTAGATGTTTGATAATGATGAGTAATTTATTTTGGAATAATCAACATAGTATAATCAAGTATATTTCTACCTTTTTACAAAAATGTAGTACATTTTTGACATGAAGCTCACAAACCATCCATTTTAATCTCTATAGCTTTAAATGAGACATTACACTAATACA